GAGTTATATTTCGAAAATTGTGATGTTCATTACCTTTAAATTGCTATGTTCATTACCTTCAAATCTCATTCTGCCTTCCCGTGGGAATTTTTGCATGAAACTTGGTAGAAATATTGTTCACACATGGAAGATTTAGTGTACCAATTTTGGTGTATTTCTAATGCCAAATTGATGGCCAAATGATATTTTCAAGATAGTATTTGAATCTGAAAAATGACTGAACAGTTTGCGAAATGTGATCAACTTTGGACTGATGTCTCTCGATACTCAAAACTCTGATTCTTGTTCTGCCTGTTGTGTTTTAAACTTTGATTGTAACTCTAATTGAGTTCCAAATTTTAGAGACTAGTTCGCATTATGTGAATTTCCAAACTTTGCCGAAGATCAACCCAAAACTATCTTAATGGTCCAAAACAGCCACTTTGGGCCAACTTTCGAATGCCTTCCATTTGGAATCATGGAAAAGTGTATTCTAGGAACTTTTACCACTTTGGAAGAAGTTTCCAACGGTACCAAGTTTTCCAATTTTGGACTTGTAATGAATGAGATACGATTTTTCAAAGATCTCGTATCAAAACTGAAATTTTCGAAAGTTAAGGAAATGAAGTTTTTCAAATTCTCTTTTTTTCCCTCGATATCACTTGAACGTTTTACACTTGATTTCAAAGATGAAAACTTGATTTCTCTTGTGCTTTAAAAACCCCACTTTTGAGCCTTGATTCGCGAGTAATTTAGGCTCGCTTTCGTGAGATTTTCTTGGATTGTACAAGCGTACAACCATTCGTGATAATTCGGGTATATAAATGATAGTTCACTATTAATTGCTCAGGCTCGCACGAGGACTTTCAAGAGGATTCCACGGTGGACGCCTGAACGTCAAGTGACATTTCTTCTTTGTTTATTTGGTAAGTGTCAAGTATGTGTTAAATGCTCATGTGATTGAGATTTAGTTGTACAAGTGTTATACATGATACGTAAACTTGTCGAGTCGAGTGTGTACTTTATCACATTCGTTCTCATTTGAAATAAATGACTCATGTTTGACCTGACTTGTTTGACCTAACTTGACTTGCTTGACCTGACCTGACTTGCTTGACCTGACTTGACTTACTTGACCTGACCTAACTTGCTTAACCTGACATGACTTGACCTGATTGGAAAATATGCTATGGCTGCATAAGTCGATTGGAGCGATGTCTCATCGACCTCTAAACGATAGCAAGTACCACACCGATTTGGTGGGAGGTACCTCTCGAATCGTCTCAGACCTATTAACAGAACGATTGTAAGTACCGGGTGGGAGGTACCTGTCGAATCGTCTCAGTACCCTAGACCTCTGAACGATAGCAAGTACCAGACCGATCCGGGTGGGAGGTATCTCTCGAATCGTCTCAGAACCCTAAAGCATTCTAAGTCGATTGGAGCGATATCTCATCGACCTCTGGACGATAGTAAGTACCACACCGATTTGGTGGGAGGTACCTCTAGAATCGTCTCAGAACTATAAACTGAACGATAGTAAGTACCACACCGTTTTGGGTGGGAGGTACCTCTCGAGTCGTCTTAGAAATATACATGGAATACGTGAAGGGCTACGAACTCAATTACCTACCCGGGGAACGGGGTGTCGTCATGGGAAGGTATTAAAATTGAATTTGGGCAAAGTAAGAAATCATTAGCTCCGGAGAGCTTCTGCATCCTACTCAAGGGTGTTTATTATGAATTGTGAAATTCCTTGAATGTTATAGCTTTCACTATTGTGTAAGTGCTATTATTATTGAATTACTTGTCTTGCATGTTTTCTTGGCCTCACGAGCATCCGCTCACCCCGTTAGACTTGCTTTCTTTAACAGGAGCTGAAATGGAAGGAATTATGGAGAGGTCGACTTGATGGCCTTTTTATTAGAATTTTGAATGTATTCATTTAGTCAACTTTTGGAAACTGTATATTTTGGGATTGTAAGATATTTTGGTAACTTATAATGTAAGACTTGAACGATTATTAAGGAATTGAGCTTCCTTTATATTTTCAACTTTTAGTACTGATTGGTTATTCTTAAATTTGAATTGAATTTGTACCGAGTCCTGGCGAGAGTTGGGCTGGCGTCCCACAGATACCCTTGGGTTCGCCCTTGGGAGAAGTGGGGGCGTCATAGAAAGCCAGCATTTTGACATAGAAAATACAACTTCAATCCAGGTTATCAACAGTACTTGTACTGGTTACCCACATCAGGACCTTGCCCAAACACCTGCCTAGAATCGTGGCTGGTCCAGAAGACCTCCAAAAGTTGTTTAAAAGTAATTCCCTTAGGATCATATTCAATCTGCACAGAATCGATTTCAATATAGAAAACAAGTGTAGAAATAATTGAATGTCTACTAAAGAGCATATTTTGGTAGTTGGTAATTGCAATAGTATCTGACTTGGGAGTACATTTCCATTTTTCTCTGTAGTGAGACTAGCATGTTATGTCAATGTGTTCATAAACTTTCATATTTCTAAACTTTTAATTTGGATGTCTTTTATGCTATTGAAGCTATCATAGATTAGATTAGGCAAATGGTTTTCCACCTTTCGGCTAATTCAGGTCACAAGCAAAACTCTTGGTAGGATAAACATTACATTAGCCCCACAGAAGACTATAATAATGATCTGTTTCAAGCGCTCAAAACAGCTAACTATGTCAAGAACCCAAATCAAATGAGTGATGACTTCATAACAAATTAAACTGCAACAATAGGTTTGTTACAAGCATTTAGTTCACAAAACGAAGTACCACTCTTCCACTCTCACTCAGTGTTGGTGGACAACTAAAGAAATCCAGCTGAAAGGTAACCAGTGCAAAGTTGATGGGATGACTGAAACCTATTGTTGCAAGTCCATTAGCAATAACCTCATGCACGGTCATGTTACAGAATCTCCAAGGCCTTTTCGACGCAAACAGAACGATGACAGTCAAAAACTAAGTTGCATAGACTAGCTAAAAACAATTCAAGATCTTTACACTTGTATTCCCCATATCCCGCAAAACATAGGAAATACTTCCTAGTTTTGCTTCATTAAGACTCATTGGCAATAAAAGTAGTTGACTAATTCTCCATGATCTGCCTAGAGTAACGATAGTTCATAGGAACAATCAATATTCACCATTTTCCTCTCCCAACTAATTTTGTTAATCACAAAAAAAGAACATCCCCGGTACTTATCTTCAATCAATCAACATTAGAGCCTTCTCAGGCACAACAACCGAGTTTGAGAATTAGCCATAAACAACTAAAAACAAAATCTTGACAAGTCCTCAAATTTCAAACAAGATCTAATTGTCCAACCTTTTACCAATTAGCAAAACCAAAAGACTTAAACCAGTAATAAAATGTAAATCAATAGGCTGCAGAAAGAAGGAACGTAGGAGGTGACCTGAACAGATTCAGCGTGATCACCTAAGCTCCGATACTCGGGATTGGCTTTCGATCCACCGGCATAGCCAACAGTCGTACGCACAACCCCATCCAAGCAGCCAAACACCGCCTCTGATCTCCAGAAGCTTCTAGAGCAAAAACCGCTGTTGGTAGCTGCTGTTGATTGGCTGTGTCTGTAATTGAACTCTCCGATATCCGGGCGGAGAATCTAATGCCCACACATAAATCTGCTGCCAATACAATGATTATGGGTAAATAGCACGTAAGGCGCGTGGCCACCTTCATTGGGCTCGGAGTTGAATGATGCCGACGGCCAGAATGATCCGGTTGGGCCGCTGGAATTTCATTATAATGCTCGACGAAGTCGAGTCCGGTTTCTCCAAAATTCATCTGGCTGTGATCGGGTCAATCCGATTCGAATCCGCATGTCCATTGTAAATATATTATCTCATATAATCTCATTATAAATATATTATCAAACAGCTCCGTTTGGATTAGCTGTTTTTGGGGTGTTTTTGAAAAACTTTACTGTAGCAGTGTATATGAAAAATTTTTACTATAAATTTTTTTTGAAGTATTTGATATATTGTATGGATGAGATGCTTTTTGAGTTATTGTATATTACTGTAGCATTGTATTTGAAAAACTTGTTTTTGAAAAACATGTCAATCCAAACGATATATTTCTCCAGTTAATGCACGAATAATTCATGGTTTTCCAGTAGTATTTTTTTCCTCTGTTTTTTATGTTCAAGAGAAAATTACTAATTCACCCACCCAAAAAGTTGGGGAGAATGATGATATCTGCTTTCCATCAAAAGAGGATTTCTTAGGCTCCGGTTACGAATTAGTACAATAGAGCTTGTTTAGACACCCCTGGTTTTTTTTGAAATTTTTTTTTTGATTGATGTAAAGTAAATGTAGATCCCTCCTTGTGTTGAATTTCATTTGTCCACAAATTTCAAGTAAATTCCTTTAAGAGTAGGACCAAAGAAATAATTCCTATGCTTGGATAGGGTATTGTTTGGCACAATATTTTTTTAAAAAAATATTATAATACTTTTTTGATGTACAAAATGTGCTTATAATGCAATCAATATAATTTTACAAATAAACCACTATTCAAACACATTTAAATAAGTTTTTGTTTTTGAACAAAAATTCGCCTAGACTGTTAACATATTATTGTCTTGAATTTGCTAAGCCCCCCCTAGAGTACCTAGACTGAACTACATCACAAACAAGAAACAAATAGAAAAGATCACATAAATATATTGGAATCATAGTTGTTCTCAATGTTGATACACACTTTACTTATTCAAACAAAACCCAGAAAAATTAGATGCCTACAATCAAAGTAATCAAGCCACATTTAGTTTTGGCCTACAAAAAAGTACAGTAAATGTTAACTGTTGGTATCAAAAAAAAAAAGGAACTAAATCGAAAAGACCAATTTGGTGTTGCTCCCTCATCAGTCTCCTTGAGTTGGTTATGTGAATCATCATTGGCTTTAAACTATCCAAAAATGGTTGGTTTCGAGGAACCATGAAGTTACTAGGCACAGTTGTTCTCATCCTTGTTTTAAGTTGTGAGGAGAAGGTATACAAGACCTTTCAAATACTCAACTATTTCAGATCCTCCAAGCTTTGAACTCCCATACACTCTATCGACAAAAGTAATTGGAACCTGTGAAGACATAAAATCGAATTCAAATATCTCCATTAACACAATAAAACACAAAGAGGAGATGCAAACCAACGAAAGAGCCAAAACTAAGAAGAAATAGTTCATCAGAGATCTTAAAACCGAATGACTAAATGTCATATGTAGTTAGAAGCTATAGATATTTGCCAAGAAGAAGATAATCAACCCAATAAACCTAAAAGACCAAATGATAAGCAACAAAAGTACCTCAGCAATGTTGTAACCTTTTCGTGTAGCACGAACAATCATCTCCATCTGAAAAACATATCCTTTACTCACGCATGAGCTTATAACATCTTGAAGCACGGATTTCCTATAAAGCCTTTAGGCAAAATAACAGTTATTGGCTAAGGAAGTGGAAGCTTAGGCAGAAGCAACAACAGCATTTGGTATATTGGTTTACCGGAAAGATCCAGTTAGGTCTAATACACCAGGCCAAAGGAGTGTCTGCGCAAGGACATTTGCTCCCCTGCTTGTCAATTTGCGCATGAGATTCCAACCATGCACACCACCTCCTTTGACATATCGTGTTCCAGTAACTATATCTGCACCTGTCTCCATCTGCTTCCTAAACATCAAAACATATTCAGCTAATATACTTCTAAAACTTGGTAAAATTAAATAAAATTCTAATACTTGAGTTGAAAGGTTCTTACCTGATGAAGTTTGGAAGATATTTTCGCTGTAAAGTAAGAAAAAGAGATGCATTAGATAACAAGTGAAGTAACATATAAGCTAAATGAACACCAATAATAGTTCCGCTAATATATAGGCTAAATGAACATCAATAATAATTCGAGCGGAAGCAAAAAAAATAGATAAAACACATGCCTGCAGAAAACCTCAAGCACTCACACATTTAATCCAAAAGCGATGCAATACAAAAACTAAAAATTGACCCATGTAGTCTTACTGTGCTCAAAGGCCCTAATTCAACAAAATAACTTTCTGTTAGAACTCAGTTTTCCAGTTTGTTAAACACTGCTGCATATGATCTTCTTAACTTATCAAACTTACACCCAAGGTAAAAGACCAGTATCAAAGCAGCTAAAACTATTATGATTACTAAATGCACTGTAAAAGAGACAGCTCACCAAAAGTATATTAGAAATGGAAATACTTTTTTTTTTTTTGGTTTTGGTTGGGGGGGAGGAGGGTTTGATAGAGCGTCATCCTCATCATTCTAATGAGTAGGAGTGCACTTGCATGGTGTGATAAATCAGCATCCATAATGACCACAAAATTCCTGGAGGCATGCTTCAGGCCATGGATGTAAGCTGTACCTGAAACTTAACCAAATTAATGATCCCTTTTGCTACTTCAAAAACTTAAACCAAGGCCAGCCAAAGACATACCTAAACCAAGCTTCTAAGGTCTAGCCCTCAACAGCTGGATTAGTAGATAGCCTTACATAAGTAGACCTTTCAAAGAGATAAGCATTGGCAAAGCATCAAAAACATTGCAAATTAATACCAAAGAGGACTTACAATGTGATCCTTTCCATAGACAGATTGCAGTTGTTTAACAAAATTTTGAGTCCCATCTGGACTTCCATCATCCACAACAATAATCTCAAAATTGACATTCCTAGCCAGGCAAGGACCAATTGTCAGATACAAGTATAGATCATGAAGAGAATGTTGTTTGTCATTGTTTTAGTGTTACTGTTTTTCACATCTTTATTAAGTAATATCTATCATCTAATGCCAAACTAAAACCTATGAAGCACAATCTTAAATAGTTAATTTCATACAACAATTTGGTCCATGTTATTCACATATTCAGTTGCAAGTCCAAAGCTTCACCTTCTTACACCTAATGGTTCCCACACCCACTCACAACTATAGAGCTGAATATGCTCACGGCTAATCATCTAGAAGTTTGAGTGGACAAAGACGCAAACTTTTTCACAGCAAATCAGTTTTAATCAGCTTATCCTAGACATATGTATAAGAAAAAGTACACTTAGTTACCAATTACCAATCATGATTGAGAGAAAAAAGTAACCATATAAAATATGTGCCACTGTGTGCATTGCTTATCAATTTTCAAACAATTCTGAAGCTAAGATTTTGATATTTCGCATGATATCTAAATCAAATACCCAGAAACACTTCTTTCCAAATTGTCAGTCAATCACACACAAAAAGCACAAATAATAATAATAATAATAATAAAATAATGCTATAACAATAATAATACTAATAATAATAAAAAAAAAGTGAAGAAGTGTTCCTGTGTAACATGGAGATAATTATTTCAGCAGTTGATAGATGATTGTGATGACCAAGTAATAAGCTGTAAGATCACCAAAAACACTTCATTCAAATAAACATAAATAAACCTTTTGATGCATGCAACAAAAAGATTTAGAACGTGAAATGAAAAATTCACAGAATATAAGTGTAAAAGCCAAAAGTGCAATGAAAGAAGCCACTAGACAAACAAAGCAGAGGAAAAGGAACATGCATCATCTGTTTTATACATATATTCACAGAAAAGAAAAAGGAGAACATGCATCATCATGGATAACTTGGTAACGAGAGAGAGAGCGAGCGAGAGAGAGAGAGAGAGAGAGAGAGGGTATGGCAGATGCTTGAAGATGAGATAAACAAGGAGAACAATGTTGAGGCGCTCATTGTAGGTGGGGATGATTATACTATACTTATTGCTATTCTCCTTTTGCTCATTGCCCATATTCTGTCTGCATCAAAATCCCTCCGACCCCTAGAAAATGCAAATTTTTATTGAACTTGGTTAAAGAGAGAGACGGAAGGCAAAAAGTAAAACACTTACAGCTAATGCAAGTTGTAGATAACAGCTGTTAGTATTTCAATTCAAACTAAAGTTCCATCCTATTAGTTTTTTTTGTTTGTGATAATTCAACCCTCTAATACGTTAAAGAGCTATACCCAACAATTCACTTGTCTCAGACTGAGCTGGAAAAGATCGTGCTCATGTGTTCTTCTCAGCAGCTTACTCCACTTAGGTACTTGATTCCATCAACCAAATTGGATAGCAAAACAAATTTGGTACATCTTCAAAATGCATGTTTTTCTACTGCATAAGATTTTCATTTAGCTCATTCTTCTACTTGTAATTATGCCTCTTCAATTCCATTTTGTGTCAGCTGAATTTCCAAAAGCAGTATAACTATCCTAATTCCTGATCAGTGAGCAATAGCTCTAAAAAATTCTTAAAATTTGACAGAATAACAGGACCGATCTGATTGAAAAAAAAATTTCTTCTTTTAGTATAATATGAAGGAAGCCCATCTTTTCAAGTTCAATTTCAATTAATTCAAGTAAATTACATATTTCATGCTGAGTAAGAGCAGTAAAATACCACTGATGTCCAAGAATATATCCAAAACTTTTCGATACAAGTTGGTAGTTGCTGTAACTACATGAGACTGTTTGAAGGAATGGCTCTAACATAAGGTACCCAGAATGTATACAATAGTCACTAACGATTATACAGGGATTCCCATACAAATTCAGCTCTCCATCTAAACTAACTGAAGAAGCGTAATGAAAAGCTGGGAAATTCAATCAGTTTAACAACTTGAGCTGAAAATCAGAAACGATCTAACCTTAAAGACGGCAACTTTATATGGTTTGGAAGCTTGAATTATGCGCAAATGGCCAACACTTTGAGAAGACAATTATTGTGTTTAGGGCTTTGAATTGGAGTTTGATAATATTAACGAGAGAAGTTCTCTCTTCTTTTGTTTCTTTCGAAAAACCGAGAAAGCAACTATTGATGAACGAGTGATACCCTCGTGGGAACATGAAAGTCAATCCTTTGTTACCTGTGTTAATGAACTGGGCGGGTTATTTGGGCCTGGTTTTTATCCATTTGGTTATGAGTTTGACCCTTGAAGCTAACCTAGTGGTCATTGACAATTAGTGATGGCAATGGGGCGGGGGATCCTTTCCCCTCCCCCGTCCCATCCCCCGCCCCTTGCCCCCTGCCCCGTTTCCCTCGCGGTCCCCCGCGAGCAAAATAAAATCAACTTAACATAAATATTCATTTACAATAATACAATTGTAAATAATGTTAAATAAAATTATATAGCTATCAAGATGAAAATAAAGCATAACAAGTCAAGTTACATTTATTCTTGTATTCAACAAATTCAGAAGCCTAGTACATGAAGCAAAAAAAAAAAATCAAAAGCAAGCCTATACGAAAAGTAAAACTCTCCTCGTATGTCCAAGCATTTTTGAGAACTAACAGGAGAGAGGAAGAATTCCCAAACACTAACCAAAAATACCTTGAACAGTTAAAATCCAGAAATAACAAAAGGCAAAGATCAATGGAAAACATAAAAGAGAAAATCAGCAAAATGAGGGAAAAACAAAGCCATGGTTGTTGGAACTGCTTATAAATGATATCATAGGACATGGAAAGAATTCGTGTTCCATTAGGCTCTCGTATTTACATTTTCATTAAGGCTTTTTCACAAACATCTTATATGCACAAGGAAAACAAATTAACCACATATCACTATCCAGAAAGAAAACAATTTTATCCCATATGAATCATATGATCACGCTACATGGTTTAAGCCCCATAAATTGTATTTAGGCTTGATTGAAATATAGCAGAATTCTCTTATAGATATACTCTTTTAATGTTACTAGCTTACTCATTGTTTTTTGGATCATGTCGAATTGTTAACTTAGAGAGCAATAATTTCTTCAGCTTTGGCATCCAATATTCCATTTTTCTTTCACGCTATATTCGTAAAATGAGAGAAGAGTTGGTGAAAAAAAATAGTTTCTTTTTTTAATTCTTTGAATAGCTTGAAATAAATTGATATTTTTCTAGTATTTTGCGTAATTATCAGGCTTTTTTGAAAAATTTTCACTTTGACTCATGCGTGACAAGACACTCTTCGATTTGCATAAAATATGTGGCACTGGCACACAATTCATTTAACACCATGAAATCAAGCTGCAAATTCTTGTCGGTATAAAGTTTCGTATTAATTTAGGCACTTATCAGTATTCTAAGTTTGCTAATCAAATAACTATTCATTCAACCAGAAACAGAGACAGAGTCGTTCCTTCCTAATTATCAAACAATTTAAGCGCACAAGGAAAACAAAGACGAAGACATCAGTAAGTGCCGACGAAGATATCAGCTCGATCTGGGATTCTGGGTCGGGTAAAATTTTAGGAGGATTTACGGGTTGGGTAAAATTTTAGGAGGATTTAGACAGAGAGGATGGGTTTAGTTGAGTAGTGATTAGAACTGAGTGGAATGGGAGGCGACGGCAGTGGCTGCGAAGGAGGGAATGAAGGAGTAGCTCAGGGCGATAATTGTGAGAACCTTGAAAAAAATAATAATAATAATAATATATACATATTGCATTTGCATTTTAGACTCTTAATAATCGTTACTATTGTTGGTTTTTAAATAAGTATGTGACCATAATTTTTATATATAAATAAGTTAATTGTACAAATATTAAGTTACTTGAATCTTGCTAAGTTAAATTAATATTTCATGATGTAGAGTATTTTATTGCTTTAATATTAATTCCTTGAATTTCAATAGCTAATTTTAAGTGTTAATAACGTCAGGTGTTAACGGAATCCTAGAATTAAGACGGAAATGACTTAGGTCAAAAAAAAAACCTTATAATTATATTTAGGACGTTGAATCTCGATAGTTTAATTTTTGCGAGACGAGTATACTAGTAGGCATTCAAATTACATTCGGGGTAAATTTTGGAATTAGAGTAGGATTGAGGACTTGAGTGGAAATTTGGATGAAATGTGAAAAGACCAAATTGGCCCTCCACAATTTCGAAAAAATTACCATGCAACCATCCGAGCTCCATTGGCCACTCTTCAAATCAGAACATTTCCATTCTCTGCTGGACTGCATTTCCTTTTATCCTCTCAAACACTCCACCTTTCTCATCCATAACTCATTTCCCTTCCACCACCTCAACTCACAACAACATTTCCTTTGCCTTGTTATCATCGACGAAGTGCGAGAGAGGGAGTTGCATTCCGTACTCTGCAAGTCGAGAGGAAAGAAAAGAAAGGAAGCCGCGCGAGTGCTGCAACCTTTCCGTTCTGGAGTGAGAGAGAGAGAGCAAGTGGAAGTCGTGTGAGCTGCTGATCATCACCACCGAGAGCTGCCATTTCATTCTTCACCCTCAACCAGCCGTGATCAATTCAATCACAACCACCACAGCTGCAACCACTGAACTCAGACCAACCATCCTCGCGTGCGTGAGCAAAGCCGAGAGGAAAGAAATATTGTAGCTGCTAAGTTGTGTGTGTTGAGCTTCAAACTGAGGTAAGTTCTGGACTTAGACTAGTTGTTTATTGGTTGATGAAGCTGTTTAAGGGCATGCATGTGAGAGTTGTGCAGTTGGATGAAGAATTAAGTACAAGAAATCTAGTTTTGAATGAATTTGGGTTTGCCGAGAGCTTGGGCTGGATATTACAGTTTTAATTGGCCAATTGGTGGTAATTTGAGTTTAATTGTGTATTTAGCTAACTAAAAAACTGGATGACTATGCCTTGCATGAAGTTAATTAGCTGTGAGAAAGTAAGAAAATTTAAGGAATACAAAAAAAAAAAAAAAAAAACAAGATCTGGTTGCATGCATGTCAACCGAGAGAATTTGGATGACTTTTTGATTAGATGGTGGTTTTTTTTTGATGGCATCCGAACCTGGTTTTTTATCAAATTTGTTAGATAGCTGTTTATTTGGTTATGCATGTAGCTGTTTTGCGGGCTGCATGTTGGTTTTTAGCCATGAGTAATAATATTTGGCTAAAGGGAATTTTGATAAGAAAAAAATATGGAAGCTGGACCTAGGATAAGGAACCGAGAGATTACATGTTTGTCTTGCAGCTTGTGATTCCAGTAAAATGGAAGTTTATGTATGGTAATGCATGTAATTTGTTAGCTCTATGGGTTAAGTGAAGTTTAGTTGAAGAGATTAAGGGGAAAGTTGAAATTTTGGGTGAGACAGTGAGAGGAGAGTTGCTGGAATTTTTTTTCCAGGTTGGCCGTATGAAGGAAATGGTGAAGTTTCCAACTATTTTTATGAATTTTGGTCTTGAATTATTTTGTTAAATGGTAATATATATGGTATATTAACTTAGATTGGACATGCATGAAAGTTTCAAACATGAACTGAAGCAATTATTGAAGAAAAATATTTTCCAGCATGGCCGAGAGAAAAGAGTTGAGCACTTGGCTAGTTTTCCTTTGAATTTAGCTAAGATTTTTGTATTGGACGTTTAAGACTAGGTTGTAGCTTACTAATCCCCTTTTGCATGTTTAGTTGAAGTAAAACTTGAAGAAAATTATGGACAAAGTTCTATATTTAAATTGTTATATGGCTGGATATTGTTCAAGGTTGCTGGCCTAATTGGTTAGGACTCTTGGTGAGTTTATTTGCTGGATTTGTGTATTAATTACTTCAGCTTGGCTTGGACAGATTATAAGCCATATGTTTAGTGTTTCTAGCAAGTAAAAGATGGAGTTAATGGATATCTAGAATTAACATTTGCTGGAATTTTTCTTGACTATCGAAACAAGAAAGGAAAAATTTGAAATTCTAGAGTTAGTTGTGTGTAAGCTAGCCATGACTTATCTTCTATGTTCGAGTTAAATTTCTAGTTGACTGGTTACAAGAAATATTTGTTTGATGCCAAGAGCTAA